TAGGTACGTAAAAGTTCTTCCTTATCATCAGCACAGAATTCACTGTGAGGCCAAAGGATGCCAATATGATGCAGACAAGTGCTAGAGAGGAAAACATTCCCTAATGGTAAGTTACAGCCACAAACTTTCCCTCCTGCTGTTTTGTCTATCCCCTAGCCACCTTTAATTAATCCAGAGTAATTCGAACGCTCTAGCAAACTAACTGCTTAGCTGGTGTGGGCGGTATCACCCTAAAAGTTATGGGTGATACTCAGGACCAGCTGTCTGTAAGTCAATGCTGTGGGCACCTCGGCCGACCTTGGCAACTTTCAAAGTACAAAGCCATCCTCTACTGCATGTCTACCTTGATCTCTGGCGATCTAGGGGAAGTGGGCAGAGGGAATAACTAGGAACCCACGTAAGATAAATGAGCTCTTGTAAGGTGCCATATACCAATTCATGCGCTCAAAGGAAGAGATGAATGGTGCCTTGAAGGAGCTGATTTACAGTCTGAGGAGAAAGTCTCCTATAGATCTTCATTAAGAATGCTAACTTCCCAAGGTTGATTTGCAAGAGTGGCTACTGTGTGGGACAAAAGACAAAAAATAAAGTTTGCAAATGTCAAGGTCTTACAGAACCAATAATAGAATGGTTTATTAAAGCTCCTCTTTGTTCAGGATGGCTCAGATTTGAGGAAGGGGATTATGGGCAGGGTAGTCTGACTAGCTTAAAAATCAAGAGAGATCTGTACATAATGCACGGCTTTCCAAAACACACACACACACAGAGGACAGAAAACATTCTTACTATAAACACCATACTACATATACTATAACCTTCTTCAGTGATTCAGAGCGTACCTGAGGGTCATGGCACAGGGTAATTTTCTCCATGACTCAATAGTCTTGTCTTCAGAATCAGTGATAACGATAGTAAGTTTTAAGAATTAAATGGGATAATGCACATAACGTCACTAGGTAAATGGTGCTACACAATTACTGCTTTTTAAAATCAGGGCTGTTATTATTGCCATCATGAATTCACTAAATACTGTTTAAGATATACACAGAAGGTACAGGAGACTGGAATAACTTGACCCGATAACATGCATTTGAAGTTATTTTCAAACTAACTCCTCATAAGCTTCTTTTGAACTTTTTTTTATAAATACAGAGAACTAACTGTAAGTAGGGGAGAAATACAGTTACTTCTACTTTTCCAGTTTCGGTATTCCCAATAATTATCAGAGTTCCTTACAGAGGATTTAAAAGGTTTGTTTTACCATTGAAACATAATAGTACAAATATCTCTTGAATAAGTGGACTTTTAAAAGTTATTTCACTGCAGTGTGATCCTATATTTAAAAATGCATAGAAGGAAAGAATAGGGAAAAAACTTGAAAAAAAAGCAGAATTAATTTTATTATTCATCTGTGTAATGTCTTCTAGATTTTCTATACTGCAGATAGTATCTATTTACAGTTAGAAATAAGTTGCTCTTAATAGCAACACATTTTATATGAAAATAGCTTTTAAAAAATGGAAGTCAGCGATTAGAAGGGAGAAAAATCCACAATTTTCTCTCTCTCCTATTAAATATCTATTGAGGTGAGAGGAGGAACTTGGTAGAATGACATTGATAAGAAGACTTAAAGGCCTCTACCTTCACTAATTCATGCCTAGCCCCTCCTCGTCCTGCAAAGTTTATGACCCGACTTAAAACAGTAATACTTATAAGAAAAAGGCGATAGCAAAATTTAACAAGGGGAGGACATTCGCACCTGGGAAAGGGCACCATGGCCTTGTGCTGGCCCTACCCCAGCCTCCACGTTGCTTTCTGCTCTGGGGACACGGCCGTCAGCCACAGCCTCAGAAAGGTGCATAAGGCGCTCACAGGCCCCAGGCGGAACCAGGCACCACGCCTGGAACTCACCCTGTTCTTCGCAACCTTTCCACTTTTCCTTACGTGTGCAACTCTTTCGATCTCCTCCCCAAACAAGCTGTTGCCTTGTAATTTCCTCTCATCCTCTGAAACTCAGCTTAGAGGAAACTTCCCTCAGAAAGATAGTCCTGAACACTCTGCATTTCAGTCTATCACCGATCAACCTTCATTCTATTTGCTTTTCCGTCTCTTCATTAGACCGGGCACTCCCTGATGAGAGGAACACTCCTGATGTGTGCATGGCACATAGTAGGTGTCATAAATTGTTGAATGAATAGGTGAGGAGATGACTGACTATACAACTGTAACCCAAGAAGGAAGCAGACACGTGACAGAAGGTAATCGCATGAAGATGCACTTACCCATGAAATAACTGACTTACAAAGACTGTCCTGTGACAGTAAACACACGTGAGTTGCTACCAGAACTTTCTTTCTATCACATAGGTTGGTTTTTAACACTGTCTTTTTGGGGAGGGGGAAGGAGGGGGGGGAGATAGGTTATCACATGGATTTAGAAAAACCATGACTAAGTATAGCAGGTACCCACTTCTCACAGTTATAATGGTGGGGAAATGAACACAGTAAGAATTTTCCCCATCTGCAGTTATATGACATTTCTCAGAATCTTGAAATAATAATAAACATCAACACAGAAAGGCTTAGTTTAAAAGCCAACAGCGAACGATGTTTTGGGGACTGCTGTGTTAACACCCAATGAATGCCAAGTCTTGAGATCTATTTTTTGAAACCCTTGACACCGCTACTGGGGAGGAGGCCACACTTTGAAGAATGTCAATCTTAAACCTGTTCCAGCCACAGAGGGTGCGTCTCACCACATGCCCGGGTGCCCCGCGAAAAAGCAAGTCATCCCCGTCAGTGTCTTCTCCAAAATTCATCCCCAAATCCTAACTTTTACAATTCACAGCATGACTTCAGCCCCATCGCTTGTGGCTGAAGTGAGCCTTCCAAGGACGAGAGGTGTCTTTCCTCCTCACACCCTAGGCACCTCCCGCAGTGCCTGGCACATCACAGGTACTCGGAGGTATCGACGAAAACCTATCTGCCTTTCCACTTTGTCGTGGAGGATCAAAGGCAGAAATACGCTCCTCCCCTTCTTCTCAGTTTTCAGTGTGAATGGCAGATGCCTGGCGGCTCACTAGCTTTGGACCCCACGGTAGCAGCTTCATTCACTCACTTCCTTTTTTCATCCCCCTATCCCACCGCCAGATGAAACCACGAGTACAAATTCTTCTACAGCCCTGGGTACCACACCTCTGTCCTTGCACTGGAGTCACAACCAAGGGTGGAATCCCCCCACCCATTCTTTCAAAAGTCCATCTCATCTTTCAACATGGAAAATGAAAGAACCCATCTGCTTCGTGAAGTGTGTAGGCATGTGCGTCGCTTTCAGGGCAGGTAACGCTGCCTGGTGAAGCCCCCCTACAGCTTTGCAAACGACCCTGGCCTGCTGAGGGTGCGCGTGTTTCAGAACTGAAGAAGGCTGGGAAGAGGCCCAGGCAGGACGTCTGCAAGGATGGCGAGTCGCGGGCCTCTCCACCTGCATGACCCCCCAACTCCTAGGTCGTCTTTTCCTTTAAGACACCTCACATCTGAGAGGGGAAAATATGAGAGACAACATGAAGGCTTAAAGACAATATAACCAATAGTGTTTCCAGTGGAGAAGACGGCCCCATCCCAAAGCCACCCTCTCTCCATCGACTTCTCCCATCAGCTCTGCCCTAACTTAGCCTCAATCTCTGTTCGCTATTCCCTAACACACAACAGTATCTACTGAGAGCAAGCTGAGTGCCGGTCACTGTGCGTCCATCAGCTCCCCTAGTCCTAAGCCCCTTAGATAAGCACCCTGATCCCTGCTGGACAGAAGGGAAAACAAGGCTGAGAGAAGTCAAGTCGCTTGTCCAAGGTCACAAGGCTGGAAAGTGGCGGGCGGGGCTATCCAGCTATCACCCGATGTCCCTTCCCCTGGCTCGCCCTCGCATCACAGGGAACGCTTGGGAACCTCTCCACAGTCCTGGCCAGGCAGAGAGAGAAAGGAAACAAAGGCGAGTCAGGAAGAGTCAGGAGCTGGCTGAGGGCCACAAAGCAATCCCTTACTGAGGGCAGATCTCAGGGCCCTAGAGAGGGAAGATGGCTTCTCCATGGCACACCTCAACCTCAAGTACTAAAAACATGAGTAATGATGTGATACCCCTTTTCCTACGTACAGTGCGCGTCACCCGAGGATCCCTCACAGAAACCACTTCTCTGTCACCTTCACCGTGGACTTACAGGATGGCTACGGCATTTGAGAGATGCTCGTTTTGGGACAGATTCAAAGTGGATTCTCAGGCACAGAGACGTGAAATGACTTGTCCACCATCACACAGGGGGTGGACCAGGGCAGGGAGTGAACCAAGGCCCCGGACCCCGTTGGTCTCCTCTCATTTTACTTCTGACCCAGTACAGCTCTCTTGGCTCTGTCTCTCCCAGCAGATTTCCATGTTCCTCAGCAAGAGCTGCCAATTTTTCTTTCCTAGACAAGCAACGAACCTTCCAAGGGTATCAAAACAAACAGTGGAAAGAGCGCTGGCCTTTGAGCCAGAATAAAATCTAGGGGGCTCGCGTCCCACTCATTTACTGGTTGTGAAACCCGGGCAGCACTTCCAAGCACTTGGGTTTCAGGTTCCTCACCGGGGATGTGGAGGTAAAAGTCCCTGCCCTCTCCACCTCATGGAGTTGTCAGAAAAATCACACGAGAGAATGGATGTGAAGTTCCTTCTAAAACTGAAACTAGACAAATAGAAAGGATTATTATTTTTGGATTCAATAGACTTTCTCAATTGAACGAAGCCCTGTGTAGCTGGATGGTCAAGTTATGTTATAAATAACCCAGAAAAATGTTCTGGTTCCTGAAACAATTTTACCAGCCTGCTGGCTCCCATGAAAGGACACTGGTTGTAAAATGAATTAAATCAGCACTCTTTGCTATCTTCAGGACATAAATTGTTACTAGCTGAGGACAGGCAGGGGAATGGCTATTTCCAAAGGCATACATACCTCTGACTATAAAAAGCTGACCTTCCCTAGTCTAGAACACCGGGTATGGGGCAAGACAGAAAAACAAAGGGGGTGCCTGCTGGTTTTGCAGCAAGAATCATCCAACATGGGCGGCCCCATCTCCAACAGCGGTTGCAAGAGCTCATACGCTAAACTCAGCCTCTTGTTAAATATTTCAAAGATGCTAATGGAACCAAAAGATCGGCTCTGCTATGCATCAACAGGCTGGCTTTATCCTAAAACCAATTATAAATAAACTTCTAAATACAGCCCGCTTTAAATATGCATTAAAAAAAAACACATCCAACCTTCATGCCATCCGTCACCAGCACAGATCTGACTCACCTAAGACACACTGTCCTCAGGGACCCAGGCCTGGGCCTCTGTGGCCACTCGCCTCCCGAATCACGGCTAGCACGGTGTTAGTTCTGATCACTTCGGAAGGTTCCCTTCCTCTTTGGGAAGCAGAAATTCACTGCCAAACACACTGCTTCCATTCACAAGATTACTTATGGCACTGATAATTGAATTCCGGTCACATGACTAAGGAAGACTGGGTTCAGAGGGAAAAGAACCTAACCATAATTTCTAGAGAGATCCATAAATTACGGCTTTTCTCCCCTGCAGGTTGAAGTCCTTGGAGCTCCATGGATGCTTCCCTAGCATTTATTCTAAGTTTGGAACCATCACAGAAACCCCTCTCTGTGCACTCAGTGACAAAGCTGCTAAGGTAAATCCTTTGAAATGACCCACTGCGCCCAGCCCTGGAAACCCCTCAGGGGTGAGCACGAGGTCCCCCACGTCGCGAGGATCAAATGCCGCTGCTCCACGAGGGAACCCAGATCCTGAGGGCTTAGAGTCAGGGGTCGAACCTTCCCAGTGCTGTCCTTCCCCAACAAAAGCACACGGTCACACCCACCCTGCACCGGCACAGGGTGGCGGCCACGGTGTCCTCGGCCAGGTGAGTTTTTTTATTCTGACTCCGAGTAGATCAGCAGAGCACTTCCCTCATTTCTTTAAGGAAGATCTACCAAAAATCTTTCCTAAATAAGGAACTCCCCCTCCTCCCAAATCCTATAGTCAGTGTTTTAACAAAGATGGGGCTTTAATGATTCAGTGTAGTCAGCCTTACAGATAACATTTATCTCTTAATATCCCTTGGCTTAACCAGATAAGAAATACCACCATACTTACTTTAAACATATTTCCAAATTATGCTTAAAATAAAAATACAATGAATGATGTCAGTCTAGGCCGAACATCAAGCATATTTTTTTCTTCTAAGAAATGCCCTCTAGAATATATTACATTTCCATTGCTTGGCTCCTTATTTCCTAGTAACTGGGCTAAACAGCATCATCCTATTGTACTACTTTCAGCCTGGAATAAATTTAGCATTTTGGAATTTTTTTCAACAGTCCCTTCTATTTAACAGTTTCAGAGAACATAATAAACAGTGTCTGATAAAAGATTGAGAATAAAAGGAACTGAGAGAGAAAATAAACCCTCCAAGGTTACAGAGGCAATCTGGTATCCATTCAAAGGTCTTATACTGAGTGTGCAAACTAGCAGCCTTGTGTACATGCATGCAGACACACGCACACACACGCACGCACGCACGTCACAGAGCAAAGGCAAACACCGTGATAGCAACCTAGGCGTAATTTTCTATAAACTTTCTGTTTTTTTCTACTTAGAAAAGAATGCTTCTTCTCTCTGTCTCATGCAACTGAGAGTCCAGTGGCTATTTTAAAAGCAACAACAACAACAAAGTCTGCTTCTTTAGAGGCTTATCTAGACTGAACACCTTTGTGGTGTGCCATCGCTGATGCTGGCACGGCCTGGTGATAAGTGTCCAGCCGTTAAAGAGGCAGCAGTGACAACAACCTCTGTTCTGCTCAGACCATCGTCTAAAGCAGCAGAGTAAAGAAATACTTCCTACTACACTCAATGAAGAACACCATTTTGCTGGAAATGTCAAAATGTTATTGACAGTTATCCTGGTCATTTAGATGGCAGCATGGCTTGGGGGTGGGGCGGGCATATTCTGAGGCAAGAGTTCCATCACATTACAGTGCTAAATGTCCAGAAATCCTGCGCTGGCTAGAGTACAGGGAAAATGCCAAATGCTGCGACCAGGACCATTCTCTGGCCAGCTGGGCTTCTGGAACTCTCCTAAGCATGTAGGTCTTGGCCATAATTTGCCCAGGAGCCCTGCAGCTTCTTGGAGGTCACCCCCAGTTTTACTCTGTACCCATATTTACCAGCATTCCTCCTCCCCCATCTAGGTGAAAGGAAATTTGGGGACACTGCCACGGATCAGAGCATCTGTGAACCTGTCCAATGCCACCTGCATTTTGGATTCTTCAGGGAGACAAGTGTGAACTTACTCATTCACTTAACCTCTCCGGGGTCATGATCGCCTCTGGGAACCTGATGAAAGCTACAGCTGATAGTGGCCAGAAGCTGTAGTCAGTCAGCTGTCTGTGCATGAGGACAGATACAGGGGCAGCCCTATGTGGCTGGACAAGGAGGCCAACAGAGTGCCCACTGGTACCCAATAAAATTCTGATCACCTGACCCATGTTGTCACCAACATCTTCCAAGAAAATCAGCAAATCCCCAAAGAGTACGTGGCAGAGGTAGTGGGAAAATCTTCCTTTAAATGCCACCAAAAAAAATTAGAGTGTAATTGCAAATGGCATAAATAACATTACTTTCATTCTGACCCCAAAGAGGGGGGCTAATCTTTCCTGTTCGAATATAATCAAAAGAAAACTGGTTTAGCCAACCAATGTGACGCAGTGGACATTAACTGAGCAGCTACTACGTGCAAGAAGCCAGGACTTGCAGAGGATACCAAAGAATCCTAAAACTATTTCTATCCATTGGGAATTCAGAGCCAAACTGGGGAGAGAAAAGACCAAGAGGTATTGACATCACAGGCCATGTTTTAAACCTTTGGTTTCTCCAGTAAGTAATATACATCTGGCAAAGCAGGCATTTAGTAAATATCTGTTGACCACTGAACACTATTAAGTATGCAAATACCTAAAATACATGGCAGAAAAATAAGAATACGGAGCCCAAACGCCAGGCAGGTAAGGTAACTGCACTGGAAAGCGTGGACCCCTTTCCAGAACAACCACGTTCCATCAGGGAGTCTGTGAAGACTTCAAGGAAGAACTGGCATTTAAAGTGCAAACTGAGGATGGACAGAGATGTAAGAGCAAAAAGAAGTGCACTCCTGGAGGGACAGACTGACAGCACAGTGTGAAAAATGTCCTAGAAACACACAGCAAGTCGCCAGGTTTGACTGGAACACAGAATAGTTTTGGGGAGGGGAGGCGGTGCTGGGGAGATAAATATTTAGAATCCTTGATTCTGTGCTTGTTACACAGCTGGAAAAACCAGGCTTCAGACTATCTATGTTGCTTTTTAAGCTTGGGGGAAAAACTTGGGAGTATTTATCTAAAAGCTTTCAAGAGCCACTAAAATTACCTTTTTCCTTTCTCCCTTTAAGGAGGAATCGACTCAATTTTGTAAATAAAAGATCCCCTTAAACAGAGTCAGGGCGAAGTGTAACAAGTTGCTATTTTATTCATTTGCGCTTCCCTGAAGCCGAGGCCTGATATGAAGAGCAGACCTGATATGAAGAGCAAAAGCATCCCAGGTCTGCTGTTTCATGTAGCTGCATCTTGTCCCAGCAGAAATTAGGATAAGAAAGACTTTGTTTTCTAAACAAACACGGGGCCTTCCATAAGCAAAGGAAGCTAGTCTTGCTGCAGAAAAAGAAAATGCTGATAAGTGGGTTAAAAGAAAAAAATTTAACAGCGATTGATAATTCAGCTTTCAAAAAACTGTGATCAAAGCTTAGAGAAAATACCAAAATTGGTATAGCCAGGGCTTAATTTTTCACCCCATAGAAAAGAGGTGTGTAACGTCCATCCCAGAGGACATGAAACCATCCAGGGGTGCCACAAATACAATGTCATTTTAAAGAAATATAATAAGAGAAGTTTTCACTGACCATCTTCAAGAATCATGGCCATGGAAAATGTTAACGTCCACATATCTCCAGTTTGGGAAACCAAAACGATTACTTAAAGGGATCTCAAAAAAGAAAAAAAAAGTTTAAGGCTCGCCCACTGCGTATTTTGGTTTTGAGTTTATGTTCTAAATAATGCTCTTTTATTTTTATTTAATCTTCAAGATAAAAAAATAAAAGTGCAATTTAATTCAGTATTTTTGGTGTCAAAAACTATCGTCTTCCCAGCTTTATCTCTCAATATATACCCGTAAGAAACACGCACACACGGGAGATCAGCATCTACGTAAGCAGAAGCAGTGGTACCTGAAATTAGCTGCTGTAGAAAAACAATATAAATGTAAGTCAGTTCTCACACTTCCACAAAAGTAACAGTGGCTAAAAGTCTTGCAGTTGGTACCTGCACTATTGGTTGAGACCTGACATATATCAGAATGAGTTAATTCCACAAGCGTGTATGATCATACGTGCCTTAATATTTCACATAAATGTGTTTGTCAAACTTGGCTTATACATAAGGAAACAAAGAAATCCTTTAGTAAAAAACCCTGACAGTGTTCCCCACCACCCCCAATCCCAGGTCTCCCATCAGCCTTCCCGTAGTCCTTTGATCCATCATGTAAATGCAAGGTATCCATTGACATGAAATCTTCATAATCTTATTTTTACATCAAAATCTGCATATGTGGAGCGCATCCAATGATGGAATTTAAATAACCTCTAGGATCTGAGCTGGGGGGTTTTCCAGGCACACCCAGAAATCTACTGGAGACAAGGATAAGCTGTGACATGCTTTTGAAAGATTGGAGGTGGAGGAAATGAAATTAAAGGAAAACTAAACGGATCATAACACCTAAAACCTGCAAATGTTTTCATGGGAAATAACACCATTTCTGCTCTCAGAAATAACAGGATGAACAGTTGCAGATTTGTCCCTTCTCCTAAGATCCTTTTTCAAACTACTTCAAATGAATACATGAAGGATTGATTTTTAAACCCATGTAAATTCTCAGAGACAATGCAGACTGACTTAATTATAATCAATAAAATCTACAGACGTTGATGCAGCCCGGCAGAAACGTTGCTACCAAAAAGCATGGCATAAAAATCACTCCATGGCTCCCTCTGTACAGTGATGTGACCTTAATAAATATTTCATTTCTTTCAGTGAATAACCAAGCATCAAGATGGCAAATTTTAATAGCTAGGAAATAATATCATAATGACTCTACAAAGAAAATGCCTCCTTTAGATCAAAGTAAACTTCTAGTCTCCATCCAAAACACACTCCAAACCAGTACCTAGCACAAAAGGAGGATACCCTTCTCTCTCCTTCTCGTGTACAGATTGATGTGTTGTTTAAAGAGCTTTTACAAGGAACTTTTCTCATTATGACAACGTTAGAAAAGTCACAGGAGAAAAGAGATGTGAATTTGTCAAGGGCAAGAACATTTTCTTTCCATCTCCACCCAAAGTAAGTACTCAACAAATACATCTGGACTGACTGACTTTCAGGAATGGTCAGCAGTCAGGCTGAGTGACGGCCTGCACGGTGGTTCCCAGGCTTCCTTCCTGAGCTGTAATTAGTACAAGGGCTCATATCCTATAAGTAGTTTGGATTGCTCCTTTGCTAAGTACATTAACCCACATTTAACTCCATCTGCTATTTGGTGGAACTTTGGATGTAGGGGGAAGAGAATGAATATAGAACACAGACAGAGCTGGGCTCAAAGCTCACCTCAAAATGTCCTGACTGTATACCCCAAGAAAGTCACCTGGAGTACCCAGAGCCTTGGTGTCCCCATCAAAGAAACAGAGGTCACAACACTCAATTTATGACTGCTACGAGGACTGAAGATATTAAGTGTAATAATGTTCTGGCATAGAATCTCTCACATTATAGGTACATACTGAACACAAATACACTGCATTTCCCATACAAATAAGTCACCTGTTCTTTACCTTGTCTCTAAAATAGCCCCTCATTACAACTCTAAAGCAGATTTTGCTACAGCATCTGGACAATATTTTTATTTTTAATCTTAAGTAGATTATTTAGAGTAGTGGATTGGTTCTCCTATCTATTTACCCCCTTAAATAATTCGAAGAGATTGTCTCAGCATAGTTTTCCTAATAAAACACAGTTTTGCCTTTTATCTTAGAGCTGACGGGTACTGAAATATTTAATTATCCCAGTATTATCAGAGATTTCACTGACTCGCTGGGCCTGACAAAGCGATTATACACTGGAATTGCATGAATGCTGTAAAGGTTTCCATGCTTCTAGGTCCTCAGTAGGTGGCCAATTCACAGTCCCTAAACTCTACAATACCCGCCTACAATGAGAGCAGCCCTCCAGACAGTCTGGACTTGTTTTGTTTGGGTTTTTTTTTTTTTTCCTTTCCTTTTCTTTTCTTTTTTAATTAACATGAGAAACATGAAAACCCGAACTTTATAACCCTGAGAAGAAATGATCAGGATCAAACTGGCAGAGATGCTTCCTCTCAATGTATGTACACACGGTGGCTTCCTGAATTTGTCAAGGACATTAAAGAACAGCTACTTCAGCAGTAAAGCTGCAAAAAGTGTAAGCAAAAATATTGCAAATGAATCGACTGGCTGGAGTCAAACAGATACGGTTTTCCTTAGTGTGAGCTTGCTTACTTGTGAGTAAGAGTTCTTCAAACTTCCATAATTCTTGAGTTTTATGAACTCAGTGTATACCAGGTTTGGCAGCACCTCAACTGTATCCACACTAGTGCAAGGCACGCCTTTAGTCAGTCTAGAATGTCTGCTCTTACAAAGCATTCTGGAAGAGCTTCCCAGTGTTTACATCAAATATACAGATAAATAAAAAGCCAGAGAAGATTTCTTTCCAAGAAAGGTTATCAAAATCAGACTGGAATGATTTATAAAGCATGTGTTTATTTTAGAATAAAAACAATTAAAGGAAAATGTAGTTTACCCATAAATTTAAAAAATATATATATAGGGAAATTTACATATTTTACTGTAACGTGGTGGTACAGAAATAACACTAAACGGCATGTTCTTTTCTAACGTCTCTACTAGAACTCTAAACCAACTTTTCCAAAAATGAAATACACTCTTGTAACGTTCCCTCAGCAGTTTGCTCACTGTGGTCAATGACCCATCTCATACAACGCAAAACCATTTAATTACAAAAGCAAGCACGGGCCCTCCCCTAGATGATGCCTTTCCTTTACACTGAGCTCACGTCTGGAGACGTCTGACACACGACTTAGGTTGCCGGGTCTCCAGGCCCTGCAGCAGGGTTTCCTGAGCTGGTTGCTGCAGCCGCCCTGGTCCCCGGCAGCCACCACAGCCCCCTGCCACCTCCTCGTCACTGCCCACCGCAGGGCCTGGCGAGCTGCACGCTCACTTCCCTGTGTTTCCCCGTAGCAAGTGATCCAGTCCCACCCGGTGAATCAGGAGGCGCCACCTGTGTAGTTTCTGGGGTAGTTTTTCCTTCCCGATAACATGAGGCTGGCAGGACCCCTCACCCACCATCACCATCACCCTCCCTCAAATATGCACATGGCAACCATCACACGACCAGAGTTACCAAAAATAAGTCAACAAGTAAAGCCAGTCAGGGCAGAAAACTGGAGAGTGCCTGGACTCTTGTTGGCATCAGTGTGCAAGTAAACCTACAATGGCCACTGCCTCTCAGTCTATCGTTACGTAAGAAAAATAAATCTGTTCAAACCACAGTTTTTTGTTTCTTGCAGCCAACGGCACTCTCAAGACACAGCTGCCATTATTTAAAACGGTCTTTTGAGTCATATAAAAATCTGGATTTCCGGATTCTTAAAAAATCATCATCATCATAACTGGGACACTGGGCCCAGGTTTTCACTCAGCACCAATCAGCTCGAGCTAAGGGGCCTTTCCACGGGCCTCACCGGCCTTCAGTGCGACTTGGGCCCTCTGTCCACAGCCCGCTTCACTCCTGCCGCTGCAGGAATTCCAACGTAAGACCCTAGCATACAGCACACAAAAATATATACTATGCACTGTAAAACCAAAGTTACACTATAACCAACAAAATATTCCCTTTTTGCCACCTAGAATGCAGATATCTGGCATACATAGATAGTCATGGTCTGTCTCACTTAGGAGAGTGTATTTTCGTTTTCTTACTACTAACTTTTTCAGCAGGCACACTCATTTTGGTTTTCCTTTCACAGCACACCTACACAGAGGGGAGAAAAACACCGTGTCCCTGGACAGCAACATACTACTAGTTAGGGCTAAAGACAATATGATGGTGATAACAATGATAATAATGCTATTTATGGGGACTTTACGAGTCTAGGAAATGGGCTAAGTGCTCTACAAAGGCTATGCCACTTAATCCTTAAAAAAAAATATACTAGGTAGGTACTATCACATTTATTTTAAAAATAAATAAAGTGAGTCTCAGAGAAAATAACTGCTCTAAAATCATACAGCTAACAGTGGACAGATGATCTGAATCGAAGTCTTTCTGACTTCAAGTTATGCTGCTTCACAAAGAACAGGCCAAAAATAGCTGACTTTTTTGAGAAACATTCAATAAACCTCTCAGATCCTACATCTCATTCCTATGTAACTACATTCCAACATGAATATCATACCAAATATTTGATTTTTAATATCCATTAGTATCAGTCTCGATTCCGGGACAGGATTCTTTTTCAAAAGGCACTTCCTTCTTAAGTGTAACTGACCTGGTACAGTAAATTCTCAAGATTCGAAAGTGACTCGTTTCCAAAGCTCCACACATTAGCAGCTGGTATTATTCAATCTGAGATTTAAATTTATAATGTACTCCTGATAATGTGCTCCCAATACATTTTTCACTTCTCTATCTCTTGAATGACACAAGATAAAAGATCTTTAAGGTATAAATATTTTATATAAACTTTCACTCTGTTTTTCCTCGGCCATTTTCCATTTGCAAACACTAGACATCATGAAAAAAAAAAAAAAGGAAAGAAAGGTTGAAAGAGTTTTATGGATTGTGTTGGGGGGGGGAGCTGAGAACTGCTTATCCATTCTGCTGTGGCAGCAGACACCACAGCCACCGGCCTAAAGGCCCCTGCTGGCTAATCAGAATGTTCCACCCTAAATGGAGTCGGATTCAGAGTACTGTCTTTCCGTGGGCCAGACAGCAGGCTGGAAGAGAACGCGGTCCTGCAGCATCCGTCCGGGTGAACTGAATTTGTGCGGGGCCCTGATGGTGCCCATGAAACGTGGTACTGGGGCACGTCGCCCAGCCGAAAGGGCCGGGGCATGGCCGTCCCTCCCAGGCAGGACACAGGGCCTGCCAGGAAGCGGAAGACCCTGACTCGGCCTGTGGCTTTCAGCAGCTCATTATTAAGTCCAAGTCTTTCTTTTCACTCAGACTGAAATAAAGAGGTTGAACTAAAATGAAAAGGATTTCAAACTGTCTACACAGGTCCCCCCAGGGCCTCGCTATTCAAATTGTGGTCAGTGTATTTTAACACCTTGGGGTTTTATTAAAAATGCAGAGCCTCAGGCCCTGCCCCAGACTTACAGACTCACAGTTTGCATGTAACAAGTTCTCCAGGTGATTCTTTGCCCTAGGGGTTGATTCCAATGGGAGCTGCTTCCGGAAGACAGAACAGGACCAAAGCCAACAGAGATCCAGTACTGGCCCCCCACTTTTTCAACTTACAATGTATACATATATTTACTTTCCACATGAATGTGGTTCTGAAGAAAAGATCTCTGTCTGAAGAAAATCTGAACCCCAGGATAAAATGATATCTACAAGGGCCTTTGAAACTGCAGACGTCGACGACTTCATGAACTGGCCGAGTGCTCACGTTCATCACTCTAAGGACTGTTTGCTTTCTACATTAACTCATTTTGAAGAGACATCTCCTGTAATTTGTAACTAATATTCTTCCATTCAGAAACATAATTTGATCTTTTCCAGAAGGTACCATTCAGAATGTGAGTTACATGAAAGTGTCCCACAGTAAATACACAAAGAACTATTTAGGAATATTAGTATATGGGAAAATGTGTGTGTGTGTGCACATGCACACACAGAAATAAATATGCATGTATTGTATGTATCGATACATTTGTACAACACATTTATTCTTCTATCTATGCACACACATACTCATGCATGCACTGTATACATGTATATTCTTACAATGAACACACATATACATTATATGTATGCATGTGTATAGCTACATATACATAGAGAGGGTCTCAGGCTACTTTCCATCTCGACCTCCTATCTGCTGCACTTTTGACAGTCTCTCCAAGTCTTCTCTCAGTGCTCAGCTGCCAACTAACACCTCTTGCTTGTTTCCACTTTCCAGACTCAAGCAGCTGCCCATTATGACTTTATTTGCTGCTGTGGAGTGAAAACAAAAATCAGACTTGTGTAAAAGTTGCCAGGCTTCACTGAGAGTCTCTTCTGAGTAAAGATCACGAGCTTCAGTGCTTGAACTTAATAAAATCTACTTTGTACAAATGGAGGCCACCGTGCTTTTTTTTTTCTCTAATTTTCAGATGTATCCCCAAATGTAAAAACAAACAAAAACCCCAAAATTGCAGGGATGTGATTTGACTGTAAAAGACTTTAAGGAAAACATTATTTACTCTGTTCCCATCTCACGCCAATCTACCCAACACAAATAGACTGTGACCACCCTTGTGATTGCGAAGTCTGAGAAATGTGAGTTGGTGCTGAGTTACGATGACAACCATCAGGGAAGGAGGAGAGAAAAGAGGAGGGTGGCCAGGAACCTCTCGGGCCTGCACGTTCTGCTCCATCTCGATCAGCTTTCACGGGCCACTAAAACAGCCCCAAAGCTGGAACTGGCCAGGAAGGTGTAGGCCAAGGCAGTTTTCATCTGTTCTGACTTCCAGGGAGGCGAGGCTTAAACCCCTGGGTGTTCATTTCTCCCTTCTGCATGCCCAGTGAACACCCTGGAGAACTCCCAATTCTTCTCTGCCTATGAGACAGGAGATGACACCCAACTGAGACTGGAAATCCGCGTTCCCAGCAAGTTTCCAAGTGATGCTGATGCTGTTGGTCCTGTGGCCACACTCTGAGATCCACTCATCCAGGTCGAGCCCTCTTTTAAACATGAGACCACGAGGGACCAGGAGGGTGAAGGGATTAGACCAAAGGCAGCACAGAGTAGACTGCAGGGAAGGAAGGATTCCAGTCCCCCTCTCCCAGTTCAGGGTACCTCCCACCACAGAGCAGCTCTCACCGATGTGAGGAAAGGTATTCAAAGAATGTCTTTATCTATAAACAAAGATCCTTGGTGTCTTATATGTATGTAGCCTTTTAAAAGTTCATCTACCTTATCTCCTTTGATTCTCATAACAACCTGATGAGGTAGGGAGAGCAAAGATTAAAATCCCTATTGTAGAGATTAGGACAGTGGGACGCAGCGTCGTTAAATGGTGCATCCAAAACAGCAAAGTTAGTTAAGCGCTCTAACGGATGGGAGTGTGGTCTGAGGGTCTCAGGATGGACATCCTGGTAAACCTGTTAGAATCTTGCAGGAAATCTGCAGTTTAACCATCTCCCAGGTCGACTAATCTGCACATCAAAGTTTGAAAAGCCCTGGCATAGACAGGCCTGAAACCAGGTCATCCAGTTCCAAGATCCACGCCTTTTCTCCCCCTCTCTGCAAATACTGGTCAGTATCCTATTTTGACTTGCTTCCCAACATCACCTAATGAAGAAGTTAACTCTCCCCAGGTAAAAGACACTTACAAGTGTTTTGCCTTTAAAAAAAAAAAGTATCGTACTAGGTTAAATTACCTTTATTATCAGTCTTGGTAATTCCTCGGTAGTCATTTTCTTGACTGATGTATAGACCCCTATGAAATGAATCCTCTGAGAAGAAGATGGGAAAAAAACAAGACAGTGATCAATGGATTCAATTAGTTACAGTATAATTCTACCCAGATGAAAGGAGATCAAGATGCTATGCAACTACCCCAGGGTGGCTAAAATACTCTACCCAGAAAGGACACCATTTCTTTCCCACATTCTTCAACTATGAAGTTCAGGAAAGCACAAAACAGCTGCTCCTGAGACACCTGGGAAAATAACCACAATGAACCCAAAGCTCCTCACAACTGGAAGTATTTAAATTCTGCCTTTAATGGTCTAGGTCAGGTGACAACTGCATTTCTTCACATGCATGAAGCGTTACACAGGACCAGTTTCTCTAATTACAGCAAAGAAACCCCTCTCGCGACACCCAGTCAACCAAGAATTAACTCAGTGGTTAGCGCAGAGACCGCAGTTCTGCAAAGTGTATGCACGTTTCTCCCTTCGACTTTTCAAATCAGTCCTTCGGACTGAGATTGAACAGAAACCAGAATGGAGACCCCGTGCACCTGTGGAAAGCTGTTTCCTTCAGTGTGGCAAAACGTGAATGCAAATGATTTCTTGCAAAATATACCAATCCTAGGCATTCAGATGAGTAAATATAAAAACAAGCACACAAGAGGGTTTTTTTGTTTTGTTTTCTTTTTGTTCGTTTGTTTGTTTTGGTAATTTCAGAGTTGCTTTGGGCAAACACATGATTAGTTAACCAGGGTGGTAAAATTCCAATCATTAAAATGAACACTCAGGACATAGCAACCACTACTGGCAACCCCTGAGCGGGTCCCCACGTGAAATCACACCTCTGCAACGCAAAAATCATCATTTTAGAAAGATGTACACCTCTTAAAAGGAAGATCTCTCACCTGGTTGAAAAATAATGTGATGAATCAAGTGATTTAATAGAATCCACAGCCTTAATCTTATTATTTTCAAAGATTAAAAGGCTTTTCCACCAAGAGCCAATTGTCTCCATTTGCTTAGGAACAATAAAATCAGATGGACTGTGATCCACCTACTCTGAGATAATTTGGCGTAGGCCTGTCTTTAATTCTCCTTGTATTTCTTTATCAAGCTACACAAAGCTGTTAGTGGTTTATCCCTCTGAAACCTGGGGACGCGTGTAAACAACTTTTAACAGTGAGATCGCACGTAACACTTCACAGAGCGCTGTGGCATAATGCAATTCAAAGTTGTTCTTGATTTAAAATGTTTCTAGTCCAACCACAGTGTCAGCCTGCCCAGAGAAATCTCTTATAAAAGTTTTCACACTCTGTTGGGTTAAGAGACAGTGGGTATTAATCCTATGGCTTCTACGCCAAGCTTCCTTTTTGTGGTCAGCAGAGAAGCTATGTGGTTGGTCTGAAGGAGTCCAAAGTCTTTTTTCTGTGTTAAAACAAGGGAAAGTGGGCCGGTTACAGAGTAAAAGAAAAACCACAGCCAGCTCACTCTGCTGTAGCTTTTCCCTTAAATGTGGCCTAGAGCAATTCTGCTTTCCAAAAAAAGGTTTAATTTAAACCATACACAGTGCTGCAGGCTGCCACGTTTCCAAACTCAACATTCCTTTCTAATCTGTGCACTTCAGAAG